CTGCGGCTCCGGAGAGCCAGAGCTGCAAAAGCGGATTAAATCCTTCAGAAATAGAGTAAGCGCCCGTCTGCGGGCGCACCGAGGGTGCCAGCACCCTGCTGGGGGCTGCGACAGAGGCTCCCGGCTGCAGCAAATGCAAACTCTCTCCTTGGACTCCTCTGTCCCTTTTCTTTATATTTGTTCCTGGAAAAAAAAAAACAAAAAAAAAACCCAAAAAAAAAACCCAGAGGATTCTTGAAGGGAAACCCTGTGTGTGGTCTGTGAGGATGACTGCCTATGCGTCAAAGACTTATATTGCATATATGAAGATAAAATGCACTTATTGCCACAAGCAATCTGATTTGGAACTCGGGGGACCCAAAAACTACTTTATCTCTCAACTAAAGCAGTTGATTTCTCCTCTGTGTGTCCAGTTCATGTACAGTTCTGGCTGTCTGAGACAAGTGTTACAGGGTCTTTCAGCCGGTACATCCGTCAACTTTAAAGGAGTTTTGCCAAAGTAAAGGACTGAATTTGACTGTGCAGCACACAGAATATAGGACCTGTAAAAGGTGTCTGAACACCTCATTTCTCAGCTGTCCCTTCCCAGAGACGGATCCTTGTTCAGAGTAATGCTCTTACCAACATCATACACATCCCGGTGCCTTCTGCTTTTTGGGATGCCTTTGTTTTGTTTTTAAATCTGCCCTGGGACAGCAGTGCTGGGGTGTGCAATCAGTGCTGTGCTCTGGGTATGGTCTGTCGGCTTCGCCAGCCCACACAGCGATGCGCTCACGCTGCCGAGTCTCAGCGGGTTCCTCCGCTACGAAAATCAGAGGCAATAAATATCCCATGTATCAACTGCTTTGATTTAAAATACTCTCCTGAAATCAGTTCAGCCAAAGGCAGTAAATAACGTGCAGCCGTTGGGAATCTTGTATTGCTCATCCAAACTAGCGATAGTTTATTTTGCAATATGTGGAGTGTAGGAAGGGATGCACTTCCATGCCTGTAAGTAATGATACAGTCAATATTGCCGTCAACAAAGCTGATGTATGTCCCTTTTTTCTATCACCCTTTTCTCCCTCACGTCCTTGTTTTTCAAGCGCAGCATCCTTAAAAAAGCCCTGTACACCCCAGGATTTTACCTTCCTAACCCACCTTAGACGCTCCTGACTTTTAGGGAGAGCCTGTCTCTAGTGAGCGCGGTGGGAACTGATTTTAAAGGCTTGAATCAGCCCGGTGTTACCCAACTCGGGAACCTGCTCTAACAGGTATTTGGGGCTGGGAGCTCGGACCTCAACGGGAAAAAGGGCTGATGCTGTCTCTTAGCACCTGCCTCTTGCAGAGCTTTCTCTCTGCTGCTTCCCGTGCCCTTCAGGAAAATCCCACCTGGCGAAAATGGACAGGAACAGGATTAATAGGGAAAATTGCTCGTGGTCCCCAGTTGCACCTGTAAAAAGCAAAGACGAAAAACACTTGGGTCAACATAAAAGGGAGCGAGGCAACCCGCGGGCCTCGCATCTTGGGCACTGTGGGACCCTCAGCTCAAAGTCCAGGCAGTTTTAATAGATGAGGTCTTTGGGTGACATTTTCCTGCAAGATTTTAAGTAAATGCCTTGCTGTAACATTTGAGATCAGGCATCTCTCGGTTTCCATGATTCTTTTCCTTTTTAAGCCACAGACACACACATACAAAATATATTAAAACGAGCCCAGCTTAGCTAAAAGGTCGGCTCGTTCAGAGATAAACAGCGGGGATTTAGGTTGGAGGTTTCGGTGCGCGAGAAGAGAGCAGAGCATCTCCGGCTCTGCTTTTGCCTGAAGGGGAATATGGATTAAAAACTTGCAGGGAGCAGAAGTGAAGGCGAGAAGAGATACTTCTGTCATTGGTTTCGTTATCCCACACCAGGAAAGGGAGTTGACAGAGCCCCCAGGCAACGCACCGGCCATGAGGAGAGCAAAGGGGTGCAGGATGGTGGTGGGGGCAGCAGCGGAGTCCGTGTCGTCCCTCAGCAGGACTAAACCTCCGCCTGCCCCGGGGTCAGGGTCTGCAGGGGGGTCAGGTCTGGACCAGCTCTGTAAAAGCCACGTGAGGACAGAAGGTAGAACCTGCCTGGACAAAAAGCTTTCAAAAAAAGAGAGGGGAGAGACTGACCCCTTTCTGTCTGGAGAGAGCCAAGACTTTCTTTTACTTTCTCCTCGACAAGAAGCCTCCCGCACTTCTGCGCGGGGAATGGCAAGGCTGCGTCCCAGAAGACCAGAGCTATCCGCCCCGACAGGGAGAACGCTTCACCTGCGGCTGAGACAAACTTGCCAAGGAATTAACGGCATTTATTAAATTAATTAGCTCATAGAAATACGCTGCTGAAGGCTTTAATGAGGGGAGCACCCAGCCCATTCGTTGGGCAGTGGGTACTCTCCTAACGCACTTTCACAGAAGGAGAGATTTGGTTGGTACAAACTGCACCAGCCTGTTAAAAGCATTGGTTGTAAATCAACAAGCCACATTGATTCCAGGTAGCTGATATTCCAGTGTGCAAATAGAATTATTTTTTAACTATATCTCTTGATATTCCCTGCCAGTATTTGGCAGGGAGGGAAAGTGGAGGAGGCAGCACGTGGAGCACTTGGGAAGAGCTGCTGGGACAGAGCGGGGAGATGCAATACTCTCCGCAGTAGCAGCCGCACTTGTGCATCGCCTGTGTGCAGGAGCAAGAGGCAACAGAAGCTCAAAACAGCATTTCTAGAGACAGCTATTGATATAAACGTGCACATCAACACTGTAAAATTAGACCAGCAGGTGGGTATCTTGTTTGTGGAGACAGCAATTGCTTTCCACAAGGCCAAAATGAAGTTACAGGACCAGGAAGGGACAATAACTCTTCGTTATAGACAAAGGATCCCAAAGGAACTCAGTTGTTGCCTCTGTGGGAGAAGTGCTTTCGACCAGGAGCGTGGGTCTGTGCTTGGACCACGGGGCCACTCGTTCCCCTCAATTTGGGGCTGAGGAATAGGGAACACCAGGCACCCAGGAGAAGGCTTGCACCCCGGCTGCCGCTCACCTTCAGGCACCAACAGGTAAATACAATTCACCACTTGTTCCATGTTCCACTTTATTCCAAGAATAAATATTCTTGATCCATCCCAAGAATCCACGTGAGGACCAGGAACAACAGGTGAGACCAGGCTGGGAACACCAACCCCGACACACTCCTCCCGGCTGACAGAAATTTCCTAACAGAAGCTTTCAAATGAAAGGAACATTGGTGTTAAGAGATTATTAGTCATTCTTTAAACCAGTGTGGGCTGAGTGCCGGAAAACATTTCTCTCCAAATTTATATGAATAATGTGACTAAATAAATCTGATTTTGGATAGCCTTCCATGGTGATCCTATCAGATGGATTTAAGAGGAGGAAAGTTTGGGGGAATATTGACTCTTGGTGGATGGCTGTGGAAAGTTCACTGTTTGCACACAGAAATTAGTTGATTGACTGCAGAATTAGACATCTTCATGCATCAAATAGGTAGGCAGCCTGCAGGACCTCGGTACATGCAGAGCCCACTGCCTGTTGGGAACCGGGAACCCAACACCTGCTAATGAAAAAATGGGAAAAACTATGACTGTCTTTGGATAAATCAGTGATTTCCTGAATGGGATTTTCCTAGATCTCTATGCATTTGTAAAGAGGTTTATCACGAAGACAACTGAGTGGACAAACAGCCCCGTGGAGTTCCCAAGGGCAGCTGGCTGGCTCAGCGCCCCGGGGCTGAGAAGGTAACCCCACCACGGACCTCTCATCCTCGGGGGAGGGGGGGGCTTTTCATCTGGGGGATCCCCTTGCCACCCCCGGCATCACTGTGGCACCCCCCCAGCCCCTGCAACAGGGCAGCTCAGAAAGGACCCCACATCCCCAAATCCGAGGCTACGGGGGTTAAGGGAAAAGTCACTGGTGGGGACCAAAGCAAAGCGGCGCTGCTGTCTCGCTGCTGTGCCGCAGTGCCGAGGGAGTCCCAGGCAGATCAGGGCAGAGGGAGACACTTTTAGGTGTTTTTTTCCCCTCCTTTAAATGCGTTTCTCCGAGCAGCAGCACGGGGGGTGGGGGGGTGGGTGTGGTATTTGGGGACAAGCAGGACCCATGGATGTCTAAGGATGATGGAGCATCCCTGGCACCTCTCCTCTCCCCAGGACACCCTACCAGCCCCCAACCGGCCGTGCCTCTGTGTCTGACTCTGCAAGGGCTGGAGAAGG